CTCTTGGCGTATTGGCAGCTGAAGACGCCACGCCACGCCTCAATGTCGGCAGCTGGTGGCTTGGCCCAATCGCAGCCAAGACGCAATACTCGGAGCCGGACGACGGCCAGATCCGACGTCCAAGCCGAGGCACTTCAACCCTTTTACAGTCCTTGAAGAATTATTTGCATTGTTTAATGTCACCGTTGCAATTCTAGACATTCTTTACCAGGTTCTTCCCTGATGGCAAACCACTTCTCTGGGTCAAACAGATACGGGTCTACAATCTCAAATGTTCGAGAACAAAAAACAGAAGACAGAACCTCCACTTTGTTCGGCCGACGTTACGAGAATGTCGACCTTCCCCGTTGGGTATCATGGCAAAAGGACCGATCCCGTACAAACTAGTGCTCGGGCCAATCCCCGCATGTGGCCTAACCTACTTCCAGGAACTTTTGTCTTCAAAAACATCCTGCCCTGATTGGTCCCGCGGGCAGATAAGGTCGTTCTCCACTAAACAACTCTGTTGTCTAAGGTTACTTTGACCTGCGACTCTGGGGTTTTCTGTATCAAGCTGGGATCGTCACTTTGTTCGCTTTTGAGAAGGTGGCAATCAAGGGGACCCATAATGGAGTGATTGCTTTACCCCGTAGATAAATCGTCTCATGTATAATTATCCTTCACATCCCCGCCTCAGACCCAGGCCTTTCTCTCATCCCTCTCAACCCTTCTCTCTCTCATTTCTTTTGACAGAAATATCGTCAAAATGACCACCGCAGGTCACCTCGACACAGACGCCATCGCCCGCTCTGGTCTCGCCGACCCAGAGACGCACGGCATCCCCCAGATCGCCGGCAAGGGCTCCATCGACGTCACACGCCAGCGCTCCGTCTCCGACTCGGACGATGAGCTCCCCACCGAGGAGGAGCTGCAGACCCTGCGCCGCGTCTCGGGAAAGATCAAGTGGGCTATGTACACCATCGCCTTCGTAGAGGCCTGCGAGCGCTTCTCGTACTACGGCTCTGCGGTCCTGTACACAAACTTCGTCGCGAAGCCGCTGCCTGATGGTTCGACCACCGGTGCGCCCGTTGATCCCAATGATCCTCAGGCTCAGGCTGGTGCGCTTGGTATGGGACCCAAGGCTGCGCAGGGTATTTCTCTGTTCAACCAGTTCTTTGCCTATCTCATGCCTCTTGTTGGGTAAGTCTCATTCTTTTACGCCCTTCGTTGTCTGTCTTTTGCTAACACTCTCAAAAGTGCCTGGATTGCAGATGCCAAGCTCGGTCGTTTCCTCACTCTTCACATCGCCATTGCCATCTCTACATGCGCTCACGTCATTCTCGTCGCTGCTTCTTCTCCCACCGTCATTGTCCGCAAAGATCCCGCGTTCGGGGCCTTCATCATCGGTCTCCTTGTTCTCTGTGTCGGAACCGGGTTCTTTAAGGCCAACGTCTCTCCTCTCCTCGCTGATCAGAATGAGGATACAAAGATGCGCGTCGAGGTCCGCGATGGTGAGCGTGTCATTGTCGATCCTGCCGTGACAAACACTCGTGTCTTCCTCTACTTCTACCTGGCTATCAACGTCGGATCTGTCTGCGGTCAGATCGCTATGGTCTACGTTGAGAAGTATCACTCTTTCTGGCTCGCTTTCTTCATCCCCACCATCTTCTTCCTCGTCGCCCCCATTGTTCTCGCCCTCAACAAGAAGAAGTACAAGCTCAAGCCTGCCACTGGTTCCGTCCTCTCCAAGTTCTTGCGCATGTTCTTCTACGTGCGCAAGCGCAGCTCTTTCTTCAGCTTCAACTGGGAGCATGCCAAGCCCTCTCAGATTCCTGTTGATCAGCGCCCTGCTTGGATGACTTACGATGATGCCTGGGTCGATGAGGTCCGTCGTGGTTTGATGGCCTGCAAGGTCTTCCTTTACCTGCCCGTCTTCCATCTGGCTTACAACCAGATGACTGGTAACCTGACCACTCAGGCCTCCACCATGCAACTCAACGGTGTTCCCAATGATGTCATTCAGAACCTGAACCCCATTTCTATTGTCATCATGGTCCCTCTTATTGATCACCTTCTTTACCCTGGTCTCCGCAAGATGGGTATCGCCTTTACCCCCATCAAGCGTATGACAACTGGTTTCATCATCTCAGCCCTTGCCATGGTTGCGTCGGCTGTCATGCAGCACTTCATTTATGAAAAGAGCCCCTGCGGCAAGTATGCCAATACAGAAGGTTGTAAACCCGCCGACATAAACGTTTGGGCTCAGTGCCTACCTTACATCCTGATCGGTCTCGGTGAGATCTTCGCCAATGTTACATCCTACGAGTACGCCTACTCCAAGGCTCCCGACAACATGAAGTCCCTCGTCATGTCCGTCAACCTCTTCATGTCGGCATTCGCCTCCGCCATCGGCCAGGCCTTCACTCCCCTGTCCGGCGACCCTCTCCTCGTCTGGAACTACGTCGTTGTTGCTGTAATTGCTTTCGTCGGTGGTGTTGCCTTTTGGTTCAACTTCAAGCATCTCGACGCCGAGGAGGACAAGTGGAACATGCTCAAGGCGTCTGAGTTCAAGGGTACCTACCAGCCCAACGCTCTGGAGAATAAGATTGCGGAGGAACATGAGGCGCCTGCTGCTCCTCGGGACATTGAGAAGATGTGACCACCTCCCACTTGTAAAAGTTGCTATAAATTTAGTTGTTGAGATACCACCATAGTCTATGATTAGATTGCCTGTTTGAGCAATGTCAATACATACTACATGACTTTAACTTTTGACTGATTGACGTGAAGAAATCTGTTTTGTCTCTGGACTGTATTTGTAGATCGTGTTTGCATTTGAGAAAACTTGTGCTGGTAACAACAGCTTGATTCAACTGAGCCTTTGTTATACGTCCATGTTAATGTAAACGCTGTCAAAGTTTCATTGGCTTTGGTTCCACTATTCAATTCATGCATACAAGGCTTATGACTTGGTAGACCCTCTAACACACCAAGCACTGATACAGACACCAGAAATCCTCCATGTTGCCGTGTTCTCAGCAGAGTCGGTGCTTTAGAAGCAATAAACAGTTAGGAGAGGAACGAAACCAAGACCTCTATCATAAATAATCAAAAGATTTGAGTGATTTAAAATTGAGCCGAGGACAAATTAAGAATATATTTCAATGGGTTTACTTTCATATTTTGTCTTGGGCTCTGATGTCTCGTTGCTCTGAAGACAGTTACTTGAATGAAGACGATAAGGGTGCGATAACAGATAACAGATAACAGATAACAGATAACAGATAACAGATAAGACATATATGCACATAACGGGGTTCATGTTTTATCAACAACACTCAAACGAAGACAGAGGCAGAGACCAAGCTTAATCGTAACGCAACATTCATTTTTATACAAGACATGTCGTAATAACGATAGTATGAAGCATGTTACTGGCTGTGAGGATGAATCAATTTACACGTCGGAATCTCATCAGCTCTTTCGTCCATCTGCTTTTCATATTTCCCTATTTTCGAGTCTTGTAAGGCTATGAAAGGGCCACTAGGCAATTCATGAGAATTTTTTTTTTGACGTTGCTCAACTGTTGAATTGGTGCAAATTGAGGCAGTGTTCGAAGATACGAGGTTTGTTGAAGATGGAGGCAGCCGAAATGTGAATACGGAATGCAGCTTGAAATCCGGAAATAACACGGAAACGTGATCATACCTGTTTGCCCTCGTAGCCAACACCATTCTGCCTTTCTTCACTGCCCATTCCGTAAAAGAGAGGCCATTGAATGTCCCGCTAGATCCCCATGTAATCCTCACTGTCCAGGAGAGATCCAGCGTTAGCATTGGCGTTCTTGAGAGCCCTCAGCGGACCACGTCCAACCCTCGACTCAATATCCTTCTTGATCCACGCCAACTTCGGCTTGACCCGTCCATTCGGGAGAAAGACATTCGGCATCCCGTCAAAGAAACCTTTTCCAGCGAGAGGACCGTCAAGAAAGACCCCGCCGGTGGCGCGACGTCTCGCAGGAACAGACTGCCACATATTCTGAGCGAGCTTGACGTCAAAGTCAGGAGCTTCCATTGGGGGAAGGTTGAGGTCCATATTCATAGCCTGGTGAAAAGTTAGAACTGGGAGGAGAGGAGAGGAGAAGAGTTCGGACCTCGATTTTGGCAAGCTTTGCGTGGCGTTCAACGTGACGCGCGAGGCTGCCGTTGCGGTTGACGAGAATGGCTTTGCAGACGGGACAGTTCTTGGAGGAGCTGCGGATTGCGTTGGCAGATCGAGCTTTGGGAGGTGAGGAAGAGGGAAGGGACTCGGAGATGGGAGATGAGGGCTTGGGAGGGGAGGAGGGAAGAGGTTTGCGCTTGAGTCTGGTGTTGCGAGTCATGATGACGAGCTGTTGTGAAGGTGATGAGGAGGATTTGAGGAGTTTTGAAGGTTTTTGAAGGGTTCAGGTAAGTCCAGGTGATCTTTGAAGAGTTTTGAGGAGATTGGGAAAAGCTAGGAGGAAGAATGAGAAGAGGGTTGACAAGAGATGATGCTCTAGGTACATTTGTGGATGCATACGAAGGAGTGAATGTGTCACTGTTGACAGGTGCTGGGTTAGAATGGGTCGAATGAGAGTATAAGCATACGGAAATAAGGCGCTGTGGACTCAGCTGTAGCATCAGAGTCAGACTAAGAGAACCACCAAGTCAAGCGCTGCTGCAGTCATTGGATACTGAACACGCTTTCACCATGAAATTGCTAGAAGCTGATGACTTCAAAGAGAAAGCAAATGTCTTCAAGGCTGCGTGTCTTTTGGGTCTAGTTATCTAATCCCCTCCGTGACCCATACCCATGTCCAACGCCGTATCGACCTCCCATAGGTGAGGAAACAAAACTTAGGACCTCAATCCTAAATTACATAAAAACTTAGGTAACTGAGCCCAAGTTTAGAATGCCTTATGATGAGTTTAGTCTAATATCCCGTATCAAGGTCTATTTTCCTTCTCCCCAAGGCCTCCATTGCATCAAGCTCCCCGTATCTAGCCCCTAAACGAGCGCTTGTTGCCACCCTTGCGCTCCAATGCGCTTCCAGGTCTCTTCATCGCACCGCGTGAGATCTCTTCAACACGCTCCTTGCACTTATCCTCCAGCTTCGCGAGCTGACTGCATGACTCCCTCAGAATTCGATAGTCGTTCGGCTTGAGACTCTCAGCATGAGTCGTAGCACTCACGGCGCGGTGGGCTGCGGTGACGCTGTTCCCTGACGTTGTGATTAGATCTTTACGGTATGTAGTAGGGCTATTGTACTCACGGACTTACTTGGCGAGATCAAGCAGAGAATCGGTCGCTTGGTCCTTGATCTGCTTCTGCAGCTCGTCGTTACGGTCGGTGAGGCTGAGGATCAGGGCTTGGGTTTCGTCGTCGGGATGGGGGTTGGCTTGTTCTCGACCGGCTTTGAGACCAAGGTCATAGGCACTGTTGCTGATGTCCTCGAGAAGCTTCTTGTGTTCGAACGTAGCAACGAAATGGAGCTTCTCCAGCTCGGAGGGTCTTTCGTTTGAGGGATCGCTTGAGGAGCTGTTGAAGCTTTGGGATGACATTGTGCTTGGTGAGGATGTTGAAGAAGTGAAGTGAACGGAGGCCTAGAAGCTTGAGAGTGAAGGATTTTGAACGTGATAAAGTTGCAAGAAAGAGAACCAGAGAGGAAGTGTAATATAAAGAAGAATCTCGATGGATCGGGTCGGGAATGATGTTGCTGTGAATCACAAGTGCCAGTCGTGTTTCATGGAGGGGGAGATATTGAGGCGGTCTCGGTGCGCTAGAGGGAGATGACACGGACTTCACCTTTTCGTCTCATGCATCTGTGGATCTTCATCTTTGCACAAACTGATTTCGATCAGCGCGCTTTGCATCATCAACTCCACAAACAACCAACAACAAACAACAAAAAATATACTTGACATCGCATGCCTACCACTCACGCATCACCTCAGGATGCCTTTATACTGTCTCAGCAGCAACTCCTCCACGAAAGAAAAGGATGCGCCGATGCCTGCGCGCAGGCGATTGAAACCTCCAACTCCACAAGGGCTTCGGTTTCATCCTCACGATGGCTCTGAAAAGGCCCAGGTAAATTGCTAAAATCCACTCTCCTTGCTGGCAGCTCTAACATAGCTAGGAACGAGACTTCGTAGAACTGTCGAATGCGGCGCTGGGAAGTCCACTACCCCTACATCTGTATCTGGATGAATTCCAGAACTGCTTTGCAACGGCCCACGTTGATAAATTCTTTGACAACATCATCGCTGCCTTTAGGGCGGTTGAACAGACCATGGCACGCGACCTTGCTGTGAGACTCATTCGGGCTGTTGCCCAGCTATGGAACGATACTTTTACCAGAGGTTCTACTAACAGAGCAAGAGTGAGCGCAAAGATTTCATATCGGAAGCTCACGGGAACAGCTGGCTTTAAAAGGCAGCTTTACTACCCATATTGGTTCTTCATGGCTGTATGGCTTGGTCCCGGCCATCCGCTTCTCCAATCCATCCGCAAAGACATGTCGAATCTCTGGGGCGTCCGGTTCCCGACCGACGCCATCATGTATCCCAAGTTTGTTCCCATCGAAACCCAGATGAGCTTATTCTACGGAAAGCCTGCCAAGCCCACTACACCCAAGGAAGCTTCCATTGAGGAGCGAGCAAAAGCTATCAAGAAAACGATCAACGACTCGACAATCAATGGCCTCAGCGCTGCTATCAAAGGACACCTTCCAGATGATCTAGACGGGCTTGGAAACAGCACCAGAGTGCACGAATTGGAGACCAATCTTGCCTCGACAAACCGCGACCTTGAAGAGGCGAGGAAGAAAGTCACAAACCTCGAGAAAGAACTTGCCGAGTCCAAAACACTCCAAGCGAACATGAACAGCGAACTACAGAAGACCAAAAACGACATGGGAACCCTCCGACAAGAGATCCAGCTACTCAAAACCGCTCAGGCCGATAACGTCAGGAAGGACCTTGAAGTACTCCGGGCGACAGTCACCGGTATGGAAGCCAAGGTCCTCAAGGGGGAGAGGGACATGATTACCTTGCGCAATGAGGTCGCTCAATCAGCTGAGAAGGCAGAAAAGGCGGTAGAGACTGGGGCTTTAGTCTTGAGCGTTCTGTCAGCTTCTGGAGGTCAGAAGCGAAAGAGGGATGAGATTTCTTGAAGGCCAGAAACACCTAGTTTAAAGTTCACTAGACTTAGACCACGGTATACTAGACTCATTTGGGTTTTATACAGTTTACCTAGGTTATACAAATCTACCCAGGTTTTAGTAAATGTATACTAAATTATACTATCTCATCAAAGTCTTCATGTCACCCAGCCTAAAGATCCTAAGTTTTGTCCATAAGGATCAACCCATACAAAACTTTCACACGGCATACTCAAACAGCAACTTATGGAGTTCAAAAATATGTATTCGTAAATCGTATCCAGCACCGTCATATATGGTATATCTTTATGACAAATCCAACGTACATAAACCATCCAAGGTCCAATCTCAAATGCCAACTGAAACAACCAAGGTCCTAGTGTCTATCCAAAACCTAGACCTTACCCTGTTTATCATCAATGACCAACAGTCCAGCATCAATCCCAGCTCTAGCAAACCTATCACCCAGCACACCAACCGTGCGCTGAAAGTCCCTCTCAACACCAAAGTCCTCAGCAAGAACTTCGTCAAAGAGCGTGTGCGCACGACCAACGACGATCAAATCGCCAACGCTCAGACGAGACTTGCCGACGGTCTCGCGAGCGTGAGCGACAGCGAGGTCGGGAAGGTTGCGCACTGAGTCAACAGAGATCTCGACAAAGGTCACGCGGCCCTCGAGCTTGCCGGAGGCGTTGTTCTTGGCAGTGTTGAGGAGATCCAAGTCGCTTGCGGAGGGGACACTCTCGATGTTCTTGCCGTCGTGAGCATCGTGTTCGTCTTCGTTGAAGTGAAGATGGATGACGTGGATTGAGACATGAGGGTTGTGAGCGAGCTGAAGGGCGAAGAGGAGAGCGGCGCGGTCGTCTTTGCCGCCGATGAAGGGCACGAAGATGCTCTGGCGCTGGTCAACAGGCCTCTGGATGATAGCGCCATCGTGAGCGCTGTGAACTGAAAGACCGGTGCGGGTTCGGGTAAGAGTTGGCTTCTTGGACAAAGAATCGCTGTGAGGGTTGCGATTGATAAAGATACCGGTTGTGCAAGTTGAGCGTTGAACAGCGGCAGCAACGTAATCGATGTACGTGCGGCTAAAGAATCGGTCGTTGGGGTTACCAGTCTCGGTCAAAGCAGCAGCACCAGAGCTCTCCTCGGCCAGACCACCATAGGTGCTCCAGGGAATGAGCATGAAGTCAGATCTGGCTTCCTCAGCATATTTGACAATGGTCTCTGCGTAAGCGTTGGTAGGAATGATGGAGACCTGGCCAGCAACAGCTACACCGTTGAGACGAGAGAAGGTCTGGAACGCGGAGAATACGGCATCACGGGAAGCGAATTCATCAAGCTCGGCAGACTGCATGACTGAGGATGTACGGTCTGTCAACTCCATGAGACGTACGCCACGGACTTCAAGAGGGCGATTGGGGACTGGCTGGGCCTTGTCCTCAGAAGTGGAGTCGACTGCCTCGATGCTTGAGTCTGGAAGAGCATGGGTAGGCTTTCGAGACCCTCCGAGAAGCGACACGAGGTTGAAAAGTCCGGGCAGGGCGTCGAGGCGGAGATGAAGGATGAGGCGATGAGTTTGAGACTTGTCGAGAGCCTCTTCCATCTTGTGCTCAGAAGTTTGAGCTTCAGTCTGGAGAGGGTTTCCGTCCCAGTCAATCTCTCCACGGCGCCACTTCTCGACCTTCTGGCGATACCAGACGGGGTAGAGCCATCTAGTGAGCGGGGAGGTTGTCACGGTGGTAACCTGGCTCAATCAGCGGTGAATTATATGAACAAAGAGGAGAATACTTACGACTGCCATGACGACAAACATGGTGAACGTTCGGCGGGAGAGAATACCGGCTTGAAGACCAATGTTCTAAAATTGTTAGCACCGTGCTGCTCCAGTGACGAGTAACTTACCAATACGATGAGCTCTACAAGACCTTTGCAACTCATCAAGGCACCGATAGTCAAGCTCTCTCGCCAGAGACATTTGGTGAGACGTGCGGCCAGTGTACCGGCGATGATTTTGCCAAAGAAGGCGCATGCAATGATGGCAATGACATAACCCCAGGTAGTGCCATCGTTGAGCAGACCAAGATCAGTATTGAGACCAGAGAGCGCAAAATAAAGCGGCAGAAGGATAGAGCCGACGAGATCTTCAATCTTTTCAGTCAACTTGATGGCAAAACCACCGTCGTGCGGACATATGAGACCTATGAGGAAAGCGCCAAAAATGGCGTGAACACCAATGGCGGCTACAGTATGTTAGATATGGCAGCTAATAAATGAGAACGGCTGCCTTACCAGTGAACCAGGACGAAGCCAAGACGAGAAGAAGAGTCAAGGTGGTGATGCCCTGGGATGGGCCATTCTGGATACTGTCGGTGCGGCGAAGAACCCAAAGAAAGACCGGTCGAACAGCATACACCAGGAAGAGTACCCAAGCTGCTGCAGTCAAAAAGACATAGAGCGCTGTGAGGCCATTGGCGTTATTGACGAGAGCGACACTCAGGGCGAGAAGAACCCAGCCAACGACATCGTTACCAGTGCCCGCAGCAAGGACAGTGACACCGACCGAAGTTGAGAGGAGTTGAAGCTCAGAAAGAATACGACAAAGGACTGGGAAAGCGGTAATGGCGAGCGCAGTTCCGATGAAAAGAGCAAAAGTGCCAAACTCCATATCCTTCATGGTCCCCTCATCACCGTATTCCTCATACAAACCCCAAGCAACAGCAACACCAAGACCAAAAGGCAGCATCATACTAGCCAATCCGACGCTGACAGCGACGCGCCAATTGGACTTGAACATGCGCGTATCGACTTCGAGACCGACGAGGAAGAGGAAGAGCAGGAGACCGATGGTAGCGACATTGCTGAGGACGGGCATGGACTCGGTGGGGAAGATGTTCTCCTTGAAGCCGGGGATGCGCATCATTACGGAGGGACCGAGGACGATGCCGCCGATGACCTCTGCGATGACACGCGGCTGGCCGAACTTGGAGAGCGGCCATTGCAGCAGACGGCAGAAAATGATGATGATAAAGGCCTGCACGATGAAGAGCGAGATGGGGTCTTTCGGGTTGTAGTGGATCGGATTGAGGCCTTCGATGATGCCGCCCTGGGGATGTGCGCCCGTGGCAGCAGCGGCTGCAGCCGTCGCGGTGGAGGACATGGCGACTCGGGGGGTACGCTCGCGTCGGTTTCGGTGTTGGAGGGTCGAGACGGTGAAAGGTTGAGAGAGGAGGGGAGAAGAGAGGGGAGCGTCAGCCCTTGTTTTGTGTCTGGGGAGACGACGAGGATGAAATGAAATGAAATGGAGGCGGAGCTGGAGGTTGGTGACTGTTTGCGAAGGGCGGGCGGTCTGGGCGGGGAAAAAAGCCAAGGGTCTAGGCTGTCGTAATGGAGGGTGCAGACGCTAAACCCGAATCGCCCTGTCAGAAGCCTTTTCCTCGCGTTACCGCTCTAACCTTCACAGTGGAGGCTTAATACAAGGTTAATTCCCTGTTATTTCGTCGCGTTTCGGCCGCTGATCACTGAGTTATTGCATTAGACGCACGTTCTGTTCTATTCTGTTCTTTCGTGTCGTGGCTCGATAAGGTACAGCGCTTAGCTAGAGGCTATTCGGTGGAGAAGTTGGGGAACCCTCCAGAACGGTCTTGGCGGGTGAAACAGCAACAACAAGGCTTGTGATTGTGACTGTGACTGTGTCACGATAAGCACGTCAATTGCGGGCGCATTCAGTTTCGCAAACATTGTTTCAATTGATACGGGCGTTACAACTGAGAATTTGGGTGCATCTTGAGCTTGGTGTTTGGTGCACGAGATCAAAGTTGGTGGCCAATGTGACAGTAGAGAAATAAGCTTGTTGAATTGACACTGTAGATCTCGCAAAATGTCTCATCTCAAATGTCTAGTCCATTCCATTTCTTTGTCGCAGCCTGCTTTGACTCGACTGCATGTGATGCCCTGCCCTTTCATCTCCATTGGACCCCTGTTGCTCACGCGCCTTTTTGGTGTCTCACCGCTCCACGTCTAGACCCCGCCAACCTTGTTGGTGGGCGCTATGATATGATTGAGGCTGGGTCAACTCGTGATGCCAGTGTCACAAGCAGATGCGGGGAGTTCACTGTCGGATCACGCTAAGGGCCCATTCGAGGGGACGCAAAAAGCTCAGGATAATTACTCGAAGCGATGAAAAGATCAATGCAAATCTTGCCTTGGCTTAGGGGACTCTTTACTGGGTTTATTTTTACATCCTCTTCTAAAGTCTTAACATTTCTTACTCGCTGAGGCCATTCTCCCCGCTGCATCCCCACGATGCGCGCTCTGTAAATGTTAGTGGCTCGTGTTTTATTTCTGGGCATCGCGGCAATTCATCACCAGGGGCTGTCAGCTGGATCGGAGCCAAGATAAAAATATGAGCTAGGCGGATCTTGGCGAATGGCCAATCAGGATTTCGCATCCTCCATTACACGAGGACTAACTCCAGTTTGGACAAATTGAAGCTATTCCCAGATTCATCATTATTGGGTAGCAAGCGATGTCATATTTCCCCCACTTTCCTCTCGTTTTTGATCAATTTACAAATGCAACTTGGCATCGCGGACTCTACGGATCTTTTTATTCTTGCCCTGTCCACAGACATATTATGATGACGCGAATGCGCGATACCAAATGGGCGCGCGATACATGCCTTAGAGGATGAATCAGTATGCATTGCCAGTTGTAAGGCGGAAGTCCAGGTAAAAAGATCAATTGATTAGGGCATGATGGACATTTGAGAGAGATCAAAGGCCTGATAAATCGATAAGAATAAACGCCACATCGTTACATCATACAATTGAACGGCAATACTCAGCCACGAGCATGTTCAATAAACTTATTTTAAGCATCGCAGCCATCTTGTCTATTGTCGCCTTAATTACTGGCACCCTGATCACGTCTGAGAAACACTGCGACGTGCTCGCGGAAGCCCAAGGTTCATTCTGATCATTGCTTGCCCTTGCGCCATTGACGATGTAAGGCGT